TACGATTGGGTCCAGAAATTGATTCGAAAATTGGTAGCGATCGGTTCTAATCGCAGGCACATTGTCTGCGATGAGAACCGATCGAGTTGACCAACAATTGTCGCTGCTAGTGTTGCCACCTTTTTGAATTCGCCGACCCTGACGGCAGGTGAGGTTTGTTCGAACAGAAGTTCCTGACGCATGCGTATATCATTTTGCAATGAAGAATAATTAGCAGTGCATGCTGGTTCTAAATCAGTTACAGTTAGCGACTAGGGAGACTTGGGTAGGAGTAACGTAAGTAATCTAGATGACTTAGCCCTATTGGATATTGGAGGTGTATATGAGTACGAATGAATCGTACGAGCAAAAAAAAATCACTATTCCCACTATTCCGTGCTCATTTCACTCGGTCCGAATCGTAGGTGGACGAAAATATGAAATAAAATGGTTCAAATTCTTACAAGATATTATTATTATTATTTATTATCAAATTTTGCCGCCCCCTAAAAAGTGCCGACCCCCCTACGCTACGCTACTGAATTGAAACAAAGTAAGAAATCATCAGAAGGAGTGAAAGTTGACAAAAACTTTCTTGTCAAATGAGGAAAGGTTCAGGAGTTTACCAACACTCACTATCCAAACACAGCTGAGGCCAACAGGATCAATGATCTATACAATGACACTCTTGCCCGTCATTTCCGACAGGTGTTGAAGAAGAGAGAAACAGACCACTTTCGACATGTTTTTCAAGAAGCCAGCTGCCAAAAAACAAAGAATGGAACAAAAGGAGATGACCCTACAAGCACCGGTAGCCTCTCCTGAATCTGACTCCGATTAAAAAACAATAAAAAGAGACCTGTTGCAATGTGTAAAAAGTCTGTATCTTTATGAATGTGTGAAGAAAGTGTTCCTCCACCTCCTTCTCACAACATCTGACTACCCGGCATAATTGGTGACTGCTCCATTTTCATTTTTTTAATGGTACAGTACGGTTATTTTATGCTGCGGAATGAATTATGTGTTTTAACATGTATTTGTATGGGAAAATGCGTTTCGTATAACAGACTTTTTACTTAACGGACGTGCACCTGGAACCGATTAAGTACGTTATACGAGGCACCACTGTATATCAAACATGTAATATTAAAATGTTATATTTTCATTAATAAAATATTTTCAATTTACCAGTAACAAAAAAAATCTGCCGGAATAAATGATCACTACAACTCGAGCATGAGCTTTTAAAACGCACATTTTGAGCCAGTGGCGTAGCGTAGTGAGAGTGGCAGGGGCGGCCCGCCCCGGGCGGCACTTTTTAGGGGGCGGCAAAATTTCACAATAAGTAATAATAATATCTTGTAAAAATTTGAATCGTTTTATTTCATATTTCCGTCGCACCTACGGTTCGGACCGATTGAAATGAGCACGGGAAATAGTGTTACTATTCGGATAGTCCGGGAATCGACTCACCATCCGGATGAACTATTAATTTTACCCGGCTATGCTGTGCGCGACCTGTCGATTTTTTTTTCTTTTTGTTTTTTCTGCTTGCACGATTCAATCGTATGCACATACATATCCAATATCCAATACAGCTAAGTCATACGTTACTCCTACCCAAGTCTTCCTAGTCGCTACCTGTAACTGATTTAGAACCAGCATGCACTGCACACTATTCTTCGCATTGCAAAATGACATACGCATGAGTCAGGAACTTCTGTTCGAACAAACCTCATCTGCCGTCCGGGTCAGCGATTTTAAAAAGGTGGCAACACTAGCGCGGAATTTTTCATTACTTATTCTGTGACGAAACTGAATTTTAGTCTTTTAAATTGAGATATCTAAATAAGGGTACGGCGAAATTTTCCTCCGCCCCGGGCGGCTGACACCCACGCTACGTCACTGTTTTGAGCATAGCCATTTTTTTCAATTTTTAATCTCGAAGGAAAAAAATTGAAGGCTTACATCCAGCATTTTCTGCACTGAGGAACTATACACTATTTTGTATTTCATGAAATATTCATTGTTTGTTACATTATTATAAATATCTTCTATCTTGTCAAAATACATCTTGCTGGTTTCGCAGCCGCCGCAGTGTGGCATTACCAAAGATTTTATTCGCGAATTAAATGAACTACAACGATTCCGAGCATGGAATTGATTGTATTGTTTTTAATGACAGATGTATACTATTATTTTATTAACTATATTTGAAGGGCTTTACTTGGTTTAGGTGTAAAAGATGACCTGGACGGTCAAATACAGTGGCTGCTGCAGACCGTTTATTATATGTAAAACTTTGACTAATAAGAGTGTTAATCTAAACTTTTTTCGTGATTATTAATAAACTGTTTAAAACTAGGTATACATATATATAAAAGTAAACACTGCATATCAAATTCTCAATTAAATAATATCATTAAGGGCAGCGATATTGTTTTTGCACCTGAGCGGCCAACAGTCCAGGAATGGCTCTGCATGTTTGGTTATGTTTGAGATTGTTTCCGTAGTAATCTTCGCCACTGCTTACCATTGACACTGGAAATTTGCAATTGGAATAAGCATTAATCTCAGAAAATTTTATGAATAAGGATATTGCGTTACGAATATATTACCTCTTCATTGTTGATGTGATTGAATCTTTAATGGTCATGAATAAAGATTTTCTTCACAGTGAAAAAAGTTAAAAAAAAACCGATTTCAAAACTTCTGAGAATCCAATCGAAATTTGAGTTCAGGTTCGTTAGAGTTACAGGCAGACGCCTTTGTCACCTCGAATACCTTTGTTTAAACTCTTTATGCTCTGTGCACACTAAGAGGGCTTGTTTTAGTAAGCCATTATGGCTTTGGCCAGGCCCACAATGGGGCTGCTGGGTGGTGAGGGACGGGACCCGACATATCCGAACAGACCACCCCCAAAAAGTTCCTGGGGATTTTTCGACCCGTTAGGATTCGAGCCCGGGTCCCCCAGAGCTGCCACCTTGACTGCTCGGCCATCCGGCTGCTTTTCGGGGAATGTAGTGAGGGTTAAGTAGTCTCATCCCTCACTATCAGAAGGCCCATTCTTGGTCTGGTCGAATTCACGATAAGTCTGAGAAAAAGGCCTTTTTAGTGCCCACAGGACAGAAAGAGTAAAAAAAAAAAACACAAAATCATTCAAGTTTGAAACAAGTATTAAAGTTTTTCAGCAGAAATATTGTTGTGAGATTAGCAGTGGGCCACTGGGCTCATCCCAAAATGACCACTTACTCTGCAACAAGTTGGTAAAACCCGTTCTCGGCTAGTCGGATGGCTAGGAGGGCAAAAATTTGAGTGGGGAGTGCGTCGGTAAGTCGGCAGGTGTCCTTCAGAGACAGGAGACAGGTTTAAAAACAAAACAAGCATTTATTTATATAACTAAGCTAGGATACATAGGTTAAATGCGATTAAATAAATTCACTGTACAAAAGGGACGCTCTAATAGCTTTACCTGCTAGTCTGAGAGAGAGTTCACAAAGCTCTAAAAAGTACAGATACCTGTATGCCGATATGTCTAAAATGCGTTCGTTGAATATGTTCGTTAATGGCGATGGAAGTTCAAACGGCTGTGGTTGGTCGTATGTCCTTTCGGTCCGGAGTATGGAGACAAATATGGCACATCTACCAAGTATAACTTCCGAGGGATCGCCCTGAGCTTCCGGGGACTCGAGCTTTTATACGTTATTCGTGGGAAATGAGTCACGTGATCGACTTCGGTTGACACTTACGGTGCATTCCGATCAACTAACTGTCAACTTTCCCATCATAATGTGAAAACAATCGGTGACCTCCGATATACTTCTCACCAAGAGTGGGTTTTTCCATCGGAGTTGTTTACAAAGATTTTTCCGACATCGGCGTAAAAATCGCGGATTTTACATTGTTATTACTCTCTTTTCATTTTAATTACACTGTAATTATTAAATCACATTTACTCCAAGGATCCCAAATTATATCAAATGTAACAAGAGTACTATTTCATTTTTAATTTGATAATAACTATTTTCTGTATATCTATTAAAAACGGCTACTAGTTTAGGAATCTCTGTTTTCTACTTCAAACGTTAGTGCTCTACAAATCCAATATACTGATAGAAGCGCGATTCGCTTTTTCGATGCCATCTAGGAAGTAGATGAAACTAATCATGATATTAATTAATTTAGTTCTATGATCAGCATATCTATTTATATCTATAATATCTGATATGATGTGACGTCTATTAAGATTTTCTATAATATAACATCTTTTTTTTTTAATGAGAAATTAAAACTAATTTAAAATATATATAAAATTTATTAAACGTTACACGGCCGTGCGGTTTAGATGTCAGCCTGCCGCTCTAGGGGACCGGGAACAAATCCAAGGGAGTCGAAATAGTCAGGAGTCTTTCGGTTAGTAGTCTGTTCCAGATATCTTAGACCTGTCCCTCGCTACCCNTAAAATATATATAAAATTTATTAAACGTTACACGGCCGTGCGGTTTAGATGTCAGCCTGCCGTCTAGGGGACCGGGAACAAATCCAAGGGAGTCGAAATAGTCAGGAGTCTTTCGGTTAGTAGTCTGTTCCAGATATCTTAGACCTGTCCCTCGCTACCCGGCCGTTCAATGGCCTTTTAATGCTCTCTGAGCGGAAAAAAGGCCTAAAACCTAAAAAAAAAACCGGCCTTCCTATTGTGGGTCTGACTGAACCCACAATAAAAAGGTCCTCTTAATGTCGACAAGGACGAAAGAGTAAAAACAAATACTTTTGAATATATTATTTGGTAATGCAAAGAAAAATGTTATTCTGTAATATGTAATACAGATATGATACTCTCTCCGATTGTAATATACAGTACTGTAGTTAGATATATAAAATTTTAAATAATATTAATAGAATTTTAAATATTAGTAAAAGTTTACTTATAAAATATTTAAATTATTACGAGTTATATTTCAACCGTAAATAACAAATACAGTAGAATTTAAATGTGTCAGTAACACAAAAATGTTTTATGACGTCACTAACCTGTTTTTATCGGTAAGCGCCCTCTTCCAAGAATGTTATTTTTATTTGTAAATCCAGAACTTTAGTCTGTTCCACGTGTTTGATATTAAAAATATGGAAGTTAATAAATCTAAATTAGAAAGCGATATCAAAAAGCAGGGCGATATTGTTAGAAGTTTGAAGGCTCAGAAAGCACCTAAAGAAAAGGTAATTTTGAAAACAAGTGATTTTGATATATTTATCAGCTTAGATTATATGTATAAAGTATGTGAAAATGTATTAGTGTTTTCAATTGTTATTTCCTGTTGTTTGGTTTAAAATTCATATTTATGAATGATGGTACCCATCTGTTTCTAAACTTATGTCATTTACCTATGATGTTGCATCATTTGTACACATAAATCGTATTAATACTTTATAGATCATAATAGGTTCAGATGAGTTACTAAATCATTTTTAATAGGTATTTAAATTTTTGAAATTAAAAGATATTATTGGCAGTGTTTTAGTTTCAAATTAAATGAATATAAGGTACAGTATTGTAAATAAAACTGCTTTGACCTTTTAATTTAGGTACTTTTTAACTGAAGGAATATTTAGTTGGTATTGAAGATGATATCAAACATAGTTTCATTTAATTTAATATCAGTTTTATAATTTCGTAGTTATTCATGTCACTAATTTAGAAATCCATTATATAAAATGCTATTAGGACTTTTAAAATAATTCTCCAATATTGGTGTGTTTACTTTATATATCAATGGTCTTTTAAATGAATTAAAATGAATGTAAATATCCCTAAATGTCTAATAAATTTGAAGATATTTGAAAAATGAAGCTGAAATAAAAATGCTTTGGTAAAATACAACATTCATTTACATTAAAGTAACTTAAAAGTAAAAATATCATATATTCATTTTTTAGAAGATAAAACAAATACATTATATTACATATATTGTGTGATTCATATGTATATGATGATGATGTATTTGATGAGAAATTTTTAATTGAAATCATTTTATTCATTTAATTAAAAAAAATAAAATTTTCTCAAGCATTTATTTGAAATATTGTTTAAAAAATATTTCAAAATGACATTAATAAAATGAGCAGTATAAATATAAAAGTTGTATAAATATAAAATTTATATAAATAATTCAAGTTTAAAAAAAAATTGTCAATACATTATAACTTTAAGGAATTAAAGTTTTAAAATTTTCAATATATAATTCTTTGTTGTAAACATTAAAATTTTATGTTAGATCACTAATATAAATGCATAAGATTAAATATAATATTAATATACTTAATTTTATGTTAATTGTTTTTTAAGAAAAATACATTTAGCAGTGGTACAGTAACAAACTTTTGCATCTATGATGAAAAGTAAAACCTCCTTTATATATGTCAAAAATAAATTTCTTGTTATACAAATATGTATACATAAAATTTCAAGCTGGTTTTTCCAAATTATTTGTAATTATTATTGATTTAATAAATAAAACAAAAAATGCTGGTACTTTCGGTCAATTGATGTTTCTGGCCATACACACATTGGCCACTTACCCTTGCTATGCTACTGATATTTAGAACAATTTTTTGTGATATAATGTGAATAGCAATATATTAAGTACTTTAATTAATATTTTAGTTACAAAAGGAAATAATACATCATCAATTCATATTTTTTCCTGCCAAAATCAATATATTTTTCTTATTTATATTTTATTTTATGAATTATTTTATTGCTTTTGAAAATAGCATTTTGGTTTTCATTTTTAATTATAATTTCATTTAACTTTTAATTTTGGTTTTTTATTTGCTTTTATTGTTTTTAAAATATTTTTAATTAATAAATTCAGATATCTAACTACTTTTACTATTATTTTAGAAATTTTAATTGTAATGAGTCTTTCCTTTTCTTTTTAATCATATGTAAATTTTAAATTCATATAATAAAGTTCTTTATTTAAGTTTAATATGATATTGCTTTCTTTTGTAATTTAAAAGATAGCTGGTTCAATAACCTGTTTTAAGGATTATTTTTTGATGAATTCTTGCATGTAGAATACGGAACTATATATTGAAATTGTGCAAGTTAGTGCCATTTTGTAATTAGACCATGTCTTCAATGTTCCCTCTTGTGTAAAAATGTATTTTTCAACAAGTGAAACTATTCTACTTAGATGTTTTAAAAGGAAATTTAATACATCATAGTTCTTTAATATCACGAGGATGTGGAGTTGTTTACCTTAACCTTGTTTCAGAAAAACTGCATGCAATGAAGTATATTTAACCTAGAAAAAGGAAATTTCCAATGTATTAAAATTATGATTTAATGTATAAGTTAACATAATATTTGAAAACATTTGAATAATTATTATATCTCTTGATCTTTTATTTATTTTTTACAACTATTATTTAGAAATTGCAATTAATTATAATTACACTGGAATTTACTAAAATATCTCATATGATGCTTTATGTATACCAAGGAAGTCCCAGATAAAATATCTACTTTTATTTATAATTATAAATTTTTAAAAGTATTTTGACATTAAATTCAGTTATAGACATGTAATATTAAAATTCAAATAATTTATTTTTACTTTCTTCTATATAACATTTAAAAATAATTATAAACTAAATGATCTAAATAATAATTATTATAATTGACATTGTAAACAAAAACAAAAAAATTATAAAACAGAATTATTTATTATTTATAGAAACAATTTATTAAAATTTACTCAGAAATAAATGTTTGCATTTTTGCTGGTAAAATTTTATCAAATTATACATATTCAAAACATTTTTGTAATAAATTTAAACAACATAGAATTTACAACAAACAGTACCTTAGTATTTGAAAAAATAAGACTATCAACACAATACATTAAAAATTTTTACAAAAAAATTAGTTATATGAAACTAGAAATACAAAAATTATAACATTATTCAATGTACTGTACAAGAAAAAAACATTTATTGGTCACATCCTCATGATTTTGAATAGTTTACTATCAAATAATATATGCTGCTACTGTTTCATTTATGTTAAAATTTTAACTGAACCCCTCACATAATGTAAAATCTTCAATGGCCACTTGCACCAGCTCAATTATTATTTTTGATTTTAATATATGTTGTATTCTTTTCATCAAATATAGGAATATAATTACTTTATACAATGTATTTTTAAGTTCAATCTTTTCATATTTATTGGGATTTCATATAGATACTCTTGAATAATCCATTACAAATAGGGATGTCCTGATACTGCCAATACCGATACTGTATTAATACTTTTCTTCGATACCAAGTACTTTTTGTATTCAATACTTTTGGTCTAATATTGATACTGTATTGATACTTTGGGTATTGGATGTGGTATTGTTACATTTTTCACAAACAGGTAAGGTCCACCCAAAACTGGATTTTGCAACTGAGTCAGAAACTGAAATGGAATTTTACACTATTTTCATTTAAATTCAGTCAATATTTTTTATATTAATAAAAAATATTAATGACCAAAAATCAGTAAACCTAATCATCAAATTTTGTTTTAAGAATCTATATATACTTAGAATTCTGATTACTATTTATAAATAAATATTTAGTTAAACATAATGCAGTACTTCTGTTTTTTTAATCATCTTGGACCATCAGAGATGTTTCAAATGAACTACAATTTGTATATACTTGTTTGCACTGACATTTTTAAAATTTGAACATAATAAAGAACTTTCAATGTAAAGACACTGTTTTACCTTTTTACCAATGATTTCTTATCTATCGCTATTTCATGCATAGTAGTACAGTAGATCCCCCTATAAGACGGTAGATACGTTCCGTTCTTTATGAATCAATTTTGTAGGAATCATAGTTTACGGACTACGGCTGTTTGAAAGGTTTTCTTTCATAAAATTAATCGATTCTAGACTAATTCGACTCAACATTTCCAAAATACGTATATTTTTTTG